TTTAATGATGAAGGTTCTTAAAAGATCCTTTTCCCTTGTTTTTACTTACATTGACAACTTGCAAGATCATATATAACAACAATTTGAACTTTTACTTTTTATATTTAAAAAAAAAGAAAGAATATGCAGAAATATGAGCTTAAATGAAACGATGTAATTTTAAAGTAAGATTTTTAAAAAATAGTTTTGAACAATCTTATTGCATTGTCAGAACATTTTCTTCCTGATTCCTTCTCCATTTACTGTATGTTTATGTTTCTGTGCAGTTCTCAGTACTTCACCTGAAAAATAAATTCGGAGTTCGTTACACAAAATCGTTTCAAGTAAATCTCATTTTCGGCATTGTTTCTATCAAATAATTACAATTTATCATCTTGTCCCAACATTTAATTTGATGCAATATGCCCTATATGCTAATTCCTATTAAAATGCTTCTGGTGCAGATTTTCAATTTAATGTATTTTGCACACCCATGACTCAATGAACAAATTCCTTAAATAACAGTGAAAATCTTGAATTAAATAATAACTATCAAATATTTCTAATTTTAATAAAATTGAAACTAAGCAACCAGATAAGTCACAATATTGAAAATACAGAACCTAACGGTATGGTCCTTCGCCACCATTCCAACAAATAGGCTCAGATCTCCCAGAAAAAAATCACAAAATAGTAGTGTAGTGCAGCCGTACATTCCATCTGTTTTCAATGACCACTTTCAAATCTGCAACAAAAAAAAAAACAAAACAAAACAAAACAAAACAAAAAAAAAAAAAAAAAAAAAAAAAAAAATAGTATTACTGTGGTTTCATTAATATTCGTGTGCATCAATTTTCGTGGATTTAGTAAAAATCACAGTTTCGAGGATACGTAAATTCGCCCTCTACAATGTTAAGAGTGCCAAAATTTTTAAAAACAATTACGAGCAGGTGAAAACTCATTAATCTATTATTTATATTTTACTTATCTGTACTTTCAAGAGTCGGTACCTTCAAGCGTTTACAATGCAGTATATATGTAAACAGTATAGTCAGAAATGGTTGTATAAAACGCTGAGAAGTCATTTCATTGTTTATTTCTTCCTGGGGACTCAGAATCGTGGAACCAAACCCATAAAAAAAAATAGAACAATTTTCAAAAATATTTCAAAAATATCTCGGAATCAAGAAATAAAACTTTCTGTATGATTATAATACTTTATCAATGACTGATCCCTCTTCAAAATTATCAAATATTTCATGTACCCTGGGTTCAGACTTAGTTGGTCAATTGATATTTAAAATTCATTACATCTTTTCTTTGAAAACCATCTCTTCTACAGATATCTATAGGGAGCAGACTGGATGATTGTAATATGCATGTCCCTTGTATCAAGTGTTCAGATCACAAAGAGGGACTGAATTTGTAATATTATACTGAAAAAATATATTAATACCTTTGATAATCTTCTTTACTTATAGAGAGGAAATCGAGCAGAAAAAATCTTTGTATGATTATAATATAATTCTTCAATGAGCCCTCTCTTAGAATTGTGAAATTCATACTCCTGGGTTCATGATTCAGGCCCTAGCGAGGGTGAGACGAAGTTATTTGGTCAAATAATGGAAAATTCATCATATCTTTGAAAATCGTCTCTGCTAAATGGGCATGCAGTGGGCAAAGTTCATGTACGATTACAATTAGTGCATAAGCCTATAAAAAAATCGCGTAGTTTTAAGAAAATTGCAAAAATTCTCCCCTGTTTCTAACGTTCATTTAAAAGGGTAGGACTAAGTTGGTTATATATTGATAATATTATTTTGATCTTAAATAATGGAAATCTAGAAAACAAAACTGTTTTCATGGTCATAATGAAATTTATACCAAAGAAATTAATTTTATTCCCCACCGTCCCACTTTTCAGTCCGAAGAGGGCATTTCAAATGGTCAAATGTTGAAAAAAAAAACCATTACAATTTTAAAAAAAAACTTTACTCATTGACAAGTATCAGGCAAACAGTTTGCATATCACATGCAATGAGTAACTAACCCTCTCCCAATATGATGAATTACTGATTCCTTCTGGGTCCAGCGATCAGATCATAATGGGTATATTATATATATATATATATATATATATATATATATATATATATATATATATATATATATATATATATATATATATATATATAAATACATGTACACCTTTTAGAATCTTCTTATAGGCTGGCAGGTAAAATTCGTGGCCCCGCGTCCCATGGTCCGGTTCCAGGGTGGGTCTAAGTTGGTTATAAATTGAAACAAATTACATCAGGAAACTCTTTATTACTCATGGACACATTGTTTGCATGCATGATAATTACTGATGAACTGCAGCTAGCCCTCTAGTGTACAAAAATAGGAAAATCCATGCCCTCTGCCCACCCTAGCACAGGGATCAGACTCCAGGATAGGGTATAGGGTAAGTTGGTTATTTATATATGCACATGTATTTATTGAAAAGTTAAAAATGACAATGTGAATTCGAAATTTGTGTCCTTAGGTATCTAGCATTACAATATGGATAATATATACTGGTATTTAATGTTTAAAATCTTTATTCCCCTAAACTTCTGGGATACAGGGTGCTTGGAATATGTCAGTTAATGATCAAAGAGTAATAACCAGGCTGTAGAATTTATGTTGCATGGGTTTAGAGTTCCAGTTCCAGGAAGCCTGAAAAACTCATGACACTCAGATTATCTTCATAGCTCATGAAACTCAATATTTTTATTATTTATAAATTATTTCTAAAAAATTATTTTAAAAAATTCAAATATCTATCTTACTATAAATATTCTTGAGAAGTTTTATTAGATATTTATCTTATACATTTATTAACAGCATATCTTAACTACATGTATAAATTCATCTTATTTGCAAAGCTAAAGCTCTTTAATCTTTGCTTATATGAAAAAAATAAAAAGAACAAATGTAAAAAAAAATTCTAAGTTAAAAAAAATCAAAACTTGAAAGAAAATCAGTGTGTTGCATCAAATTAATGCTGATTAAGATACCTGAAAATAAAGATTACAACATTAAGTTACAACTTGTAACATTTAACTTTTCTTGTCATTCATTACTCAATATTTTACAAATCATTTAACAAGTTCTTTGATTTTTTTTTTTTACTTAGGACGGCCAACAACGCCGGGAAAAAAGTTATTTACTTTTGTATAATGTAGCTAATTTTTGTGTTCGTATTTTGGTGTAGGGTTTACCGAAATCTGCGTAGATGATGAAAAATACGAGCACGAAAATAACTAGCTCAGGCCCGTAGCAACGGTTTCAAAAGGGGGGGGGGGACAACTTCCCAAAAAAATCTGACAAAAGTGGGTTATTTACTGTCCAAATCCTACAATTTGCCAGTGCTCGACCTTACAGCATCAAAAAGTGTGTGTGTGTGTGTGGGGGGGGGGGGGGGGGGGGGCAACTAGCATCTACAGGAAAATTTACTATTGCAAAATACTATACGCAGAAAATGTGCCCCCCCCCCCACCACCACCACCCGCGTTCTACGGGCCTGTAGCTAGCCTAATATTATAAAAACGAAAATAGTAATTGTTTTAAGAAATATTACGGTAAGTAATATTGTCAATTTATTTCCATTTTTTTACATAAATTCTTGTTTATTGCAAGCGAGTCGATTTAGTACGAAAGCCCATTGGCCCATTGAGCTCATTTTCGTAGATAAAAAAAATATATTTTTCGCGTTATAACGCGAAACTTTCGCGAATAAACGCGTAACTTTCGCGTTATAACGCGAAACTTTCGCGAATAAACGCGTAACTTTTGCAAATAAACGCGTAACTTTCGCGAATAAACGCGAAACTTTCGAGAATAAACGCGTAACTTTTGCAAATAAACGCGTAACTTTCGCGAATAAACGCGAAACTTTCGAGAATAAACGCGTAACTTTCGCGTTATAACGCGAAACTTTCCCTGTAAAACAGAGACATTTGCATAAGTCTACAGTTTGTTTTACTTTTTAATGATCTAGTTTATTCACTACAGTGAAAAACGAAAGACTATTTTGAACTTGGATTATCACGAGCTGAAATTTTATGTTTTCTCGCCATTGAATGTGTCTTTCCTCTTTCTAAATCTTTTTTGCCGTCATAGTTTGTCTTTCTCAATGCTGTTCAATACAAGTGTTGAAGCGTATAGTGGAGGAGCGAAAATACAAGTCTAATTTTAATTAGATTGAACATTCTATGTAGAATTTGAAATAAAAGATCTCAGAAAATTGACAACAATGAGGTAAATTTGTATTTCACGGAACAATTGTGTCACATCACATGAGTAACCTAATGTGAAAATTGGATGACAAATATTCGTATCAAATATTTCATCTCCGATAGACTCACTGAAGAAATACAACATTGTATTTTAAGGTTGCACCATTTGTTCATACCATTACTTACTAAAACATTGACAATTTATTCAAAGAAAGCAACGAGTGGAGATCTTCCTGAGAAAAAAAAAAATAGTCTACAGAATTTCTTGGATTCAACAAGTGAAAAATAAGAAAATCTTTAAAGAAATATTCATCTAATTAATTAGTAGGGTTTTGAGATTAAATGCAAAATCAACACTAATCTATCCATTTCTCGCATCAATTCTCTTTTACATCTTCTGAAGAAATGTCATTTATAAATTCATAGAAGTCCCCCTCTGCGTTCATGTTTTTTATCTGTCAGTCAAGAACACAGGTTCCTGAGTAACATGACTATATGTATAATTTCGCGTTATAACGCGAAAGTTACGCGTTTGTTCGCGAAAGTTTCGCGTTATAACGCGAAAGTTACGCGTTTATTCGCGAAACTTTCGCGTTATAACGCGAAAAATATATATTTTTTATCTACGAAAATGAGCTCGATAGGCTTTCGTAATTTAGGGATATGCGTTTTGCGAAATAAAAATCTTAAATATGTATGTTTGTAAATAAAGCGCCGAGTTTGCAAAACACGTGAAAGGTGTAAGGCAGGAAACTGGTAAAGTTTTGTCAGAGGATAAATAAAACAGTGTGTCTTGTATATCAGAAATAAGAGATTAACGAAGTCTTCAAATGGGGAGAAAGGGTATGTATGAAGAATCAAATATTAATAAAGAGAAAGTTGTAAATCTCAAAACGTCCGATCTCTGATGTTAGCAACTTTCATTTTGCCCCTTGTACCCCTATAAAAAAATATCGCCATGTTATATCTGTTAGATTATTTCAATATTTCTTTACAAATATTGCAGCATTATTGTATGGAATTAAAGATTTGAACTCAAAACAAATTTAAAATGATGATTTCATGGAAACATCGACGCCAATCAGCATTGTCTGTGGATCGTCAGTCTGTAACCATGCAGCGCACAATGCAGTGTTGAATAGAGTATCCCTACTGAACTTGGTTACTTTTTAATGTCGTTTTTGAACATGTCATGGCATAATGTATGACTTGGTAATAAACTGGAATTCAATATATCAGAATACTATTTTTTGTACTTTTATCAGCTCACCTGACCTGAAGGCTCAAGTGAGCTTTTCAGATCAAAATCATTAAGTTTTCATAATTTCATTTTCTTCTCCAGAACCACTTGGCCAATTTCAACCAAACTTGATACAGAGCATCCTTTGGTTAAAAGGATTCAAGTTTGTTCAAATGAATTTAAGGGTCATGTCATGACTTAATTGCTGAAGTGGTGTCCAGTCAGGTCGTATTCATACAATTCTACACAACCCAACTTGTACTCAAGAAGTCAAGTGACTCAAGTTGTATACAAACCTGAGAAGTCAACTTGTATACAAGGTTTATTTGTATACAAAAGTGAACTGTCAACTTGTTGTACACAAATATTTTTTCTCATATCTGTCTAGAACATTTTCTAGTCATAAACACCTGAACTTTTATTGAAAATGAGTAAGGGTTGAATTTAGAAAGATTCACTGTCTTTGGTTCTAAATATGATTTTTTTAAATAGTATCATTAACAATGGATTCAAACATTACAAAGTATTTATTGTAAAACTATTACTGTATATTTATTCCATAAAATTTATCACAGAAAATTTTAAATTTACAAAATGTGCAGTCATCTCAGAATACCAATTGAGAACATCTCATAATTAGCGACTTTTGCTGCATATCCAAGAAACCACCACTTGTGTGTTGTTTTAACAATAATTATTTAATTTATAAACTTGAAAGGCATGTACATGTTCCACCGACAACAGAAGCTATTATTTTTTTGTTATTTATTTTTCCCAAATTTCATAACCGGTGAATTTTATTAAATTTTCATATGTGCAGCAGCAGAGAGAGAGAAAAAAGAAACCCTTGTGTATGAGTTGAATTTCACTTTTATATTCAAGGTTTTATGTACACAAAAGAAAAAAAACCTTGTGTATGAGTGGACTTCTTGTGTACAAGTTGTCTGTTTCAAGTCAGTTTGTGTATGAAGTGTGTAAATCGCATAAGTCTCTATTTTTTAAAAAATATTTTTTGTTAAATTTGGTATTTCTTCTGCTCTCTACCACACTTAAATATTGTCAAACACAGATGTATGTTTGACATATCAAAAAGTATTAAAGAGAGCACTTGAAATAAAACATAGAGATGAGCATTTCTAGGCCAGGTCATCTTTCAAGGCAATACTGTATGTGTACTTAAAATAGCGGGCTTCAGATTTAAGCGGCTTTGGCGTGAACAACGATGCGCTAATTCATGAATACCGCTAATAAATGATTTAGAAATACAATATATGGCGTGTTAGTGTGTAGCGCTAATTCATGAATACGCCAATAAATTAATACCCAGTGATTGCGCTAAATTTTGAATACGCTAATTTATTTACATGTACAGTATAATTAAGAAATAGTGAAAATCTAATCGTGTCTTTTAAAAATCACCACAAAAGCCACGCAAAAGTTTTACATAGGAATATATAGGGAAAAATCTGCTGTTGAAGGACAGTAGGGCCATAGTGAATCAGCTGAGTGTTGTGACCCATGGGCTTCTTGTTTAATATCAGAAATATAAATATCAGGTTATTATAGCTCAAAAAAAATGTAAATAGAGGATAAGCCTACGATATCATTGTCTTTATTTTTAGTAAAAAATAATTATGTCATCAATATTCCCACATTTTCCCAATAGAAAGGGTACAAGACCTGTATCAAAAAGGGTCAGTTAAGCCCAGGCTTTAATTAAAAAATCATGGACAGAGTCTGTGCAAAGTCATCTTGTTTCTGACTAAAAATTTTAGTCACAATAATGAATATTTTACATAACTATACATGTAAGGTTTAGACAGAAACATCATTTCACAAATCCATCAAAAGAAAATGCCACAGTATTTATTATGAAGATCCAAATTTTATTCATATTAATAATTAAGAGGATAAAAAATCCTTGTTTTAGGTAGAAAAGCAGAGGCCAATGGAGGAGGGGATGCCCCGATATCAAAAAAAGCTCGCCTGGAAGGTCCAGAGATAGATGGATACTTAGTTCAGTGGGAGTGGGAAGGAGATAAAGGAAAGTGGACAAAATACTCAGACAGCATGAATAAAGACATCACTGATGCATTCAACAGCAAGAAGAAAATGGTAATATTTCTTGTTTTAAGATCATCAGCATATCATGCATATAGATATATTTTTATATGTTATATATTTATTTTTTCTTTTCTTACATTATGTACATGTACTGGTATAATTTCATATTTATGCATTGTTTATAAATCGGATTATACCAAATACTTGATACTTTCCCTAATAAAAAATATCGTTTTTCAAACATCAGATAAAGCTTATTTAGAATTTTTTTTTTAAATTTTGGCAGTAGATTGTGATCAATTTCTTTTTTTTTTTTTTACTTGACTAAACAGGTAGAGTTTGATGTTGGAAAAAATGTGGTGATCCAAGTAAAGATGGACCAGATGGTACAGAGAAACAAAAAGACAGGATGGGAGCGGAGAATAAGATGCTGTCTTAAAGAAGATAAAGGTGAATCCATGCACATTTTTCTCCACCTTTTTGTGCATGCTTGTCTTGTTTATACATGTATACTCCAGTCTGTGTACTTTAGGGCTGTCACGGTTCCAAAATTTTTCGGGTCGGGTCGGTTCTGTAAATTTTCGGTTCGGTTTCGGGTTTTTCGGGTCGGATATTTACATCTATTTTAAACCTTAATTTCATGAATTTAACTTGAAAAATCTTTATTTGTTACAATAAATTTACATTGGAAACAAGTCTTAACCATGCGAACGTCTAGACATCGGTGACTTGGCCTACTGTTAGCCACAACCTGACCATTCCTGCTCGTTTTGATAATTATCTAATATTTCCTCGATTTTTTTTGGGTCATGGAATGAAGTAGATTTCAGTTGTGATGTTTATTTATCACTGTTATCGTCATCATTCCTTTGATTTCGACGCCATTTTTTGTATTGAACAAACTCTAATATATAAACCAGACCTGAACCGAAATCTGGAAAAATGGAACCGGAACCGAACCGAACAACTTAGACCGCGGTTCTCGGTTATTTCGGGTACTCGTGACAGCCCTAGTGTACTTATAACTCATTTCACTAACCACTGCAAAACCTCAGCCAATAAAGTTGGAGCAAGGTGGTATGTTTTCATCCTTTTTTATTTAGTGTGTTACACAGCAGTGCTATGCAGATATTACATAGCTCTGATCTACAAAGTTCTAAAACAAGGGTATATTGTACTTATTGTACAGTAAGATTTTCTACATTGAGACTTGAAACTCGTCTTTAAATTACAGACTTTTACATCTGGCAGTGGCAGGATGAGAAGGGAGGCTGGAACCCATATGCTGTGGAGACCTGTGTAGAGTTAGAGGGGGCTGAGGGGAAGGGTCACATAGACTTTGAGGCCTTTCATAGGTCCTACTCCATAGATGTAGCCAAAATGGAGCAAATTAACACAGCAACTGATGTCAAACGGAAAGTAGAAAGAGTCAAATCAAGTAAGTTAATGTGTAACAAGACATATATATTGATAATATTGTTATATTTTTGCATAAAAAAATGTGGTTAAGTCCTAATTGTTATTCACAGTGTAAAACTGCACCTTTCAGTCAACTGAATGTTCACTGAAAGGTCTGGAAAGGTGGCTGAGTGGCAGAGCTCTGCCATTCTGTCACTTTTCAGTAGACTTTTAGTGAACTGAATGGCGTACAGTGTAGTTTCATCCTGTGATTGTAATTTTCTGATTTTAACTGTCTATGATATTTTATAAAGATATTGAAGACTTAGGTAGTTTGAGACATTGCTGATTTTGCATAAAACTCAAAATATGGGTAGTCAGGACATGATACATGCAGCATTGCTGATAGAGTCTTACTGGTTGTATCTGAATTGTAAAATTATCATGATTAATTGAATTTTTTGTTTACCTCTTTGATATTCATTGGATTTTTTCTGTATTGAAGATGCCATCGCTGCTGACCCTTCATCCTCAGGAACAGTTGTAACAGAAATCAAAACTGAAAAACAGGAAGCTGCAAAGGGTTCTGGGAAAAAGGGTGCCAAAGTGAAAGAGGAACCAATGGAAGAAGAGGAAAAAGAAGCAAGTGCTGGGGATTCAAAAGGGAAAAAGGCTGGAGGAAAAAGTGGGCCAAAGAAGGGGAAGTCTGGGAGAAGGGAACTTGGAGAGGAAGAAAGAAGTAAAAATTATACAATCATATATTTTTTGTATATGTACTTCAAAAAGTGGGCTTCATATTTTATTGTCTTTGGGGAAGACAACAATGTGCTAATTCATGAATACTGTTAATAAATCCTAACTGAATACAATGCAAGGCAGGGACATCTGTAGCTATAATTCATGGTTACTCCAACCACTCCATACCAAGTTACTGCTCTAAACAGGGTTCGACACTAACATTTTTAGGCTTTAGTCCGGCCGGACTAGTGCTTCTTTACTTTTACTTGTCTGCAGGCGATTTTATGAGTCCGTCAAAAAAGAAAAAGAAAAGAAAAAAAACACTCAATGTTTTGAAACGGTTAATTTAAAAATAAACATTGCAATGTACTTATTATACTTTTTTGAAATAAATAAAGCATTTACCTGAAATGTTTTATTCCAAGGTTCGTTGAAATCTCGCGATCAGGAACTACGATTGTATTTCCGATCTCGTTCATTTTTCTCTATACATCCAAACGTCTGCCATCTTTCTTTATGTGTCTTACTAAATCATGTTTGCTAAAATGTTTAATTTCATATCAAACAGTCCTAAAATTGAGCGCCGAATAGACTCGGAATTGCCTAACTTCCCACCAAGAAGCTAGAAAGCTAAAAATACATGCGGGGTTTTCCAGTGAAAGTTGTCGAGAATCGAACTTCGGTAATTTATTGATTTTTTTCCAGAAATTTTTATTAGTCCGTTCGGACTAATTAGCTACAGATTTTATTAGTCCAAATGAAAATGTATTAGTCTGAGACTAATGGACTAACGTTAATGTCGAACCCTGCTAAATATTGAATACATTAATTTATGTACATGACATACACTACTTAAATTGCAGTAGAAGGAAATGATTTAAGAAAACAAGACAACACTTATGTAACAGTTTCAGAGCAGATAAATCTAGCTTTCTTAGACTTAGTTCTTTCTTTAAGTTCTTAAACTTTTATGTCTGCTCTCTGTTCTTTCCTCCAGACTCCTCACTTTATATAATACATGTATCTGTGCTTCATTCTAGTCCGTACAGTGGTAATATCTGGTAAAGCACCTGTTGATGCTGAATGTACATCCATGGTGGGGAAGGCTCATGTTTACTCTGAGGGCAATGACATATGGGACTGCATGCTGAATCAGGTCAGTCATTAAAAGTAAAGTTCTTAAAGGAGAGTTTACATGTAATTCTGTTCAAAAAGCTGCCAGGATAAACTATTAATAAAATTGAATGAAGTTAGATAAATAAGTAAATTTCAATTGCTTGATTTTGTTCTGGAAAAAAGTTTAAAGAATTCAAATCTGGTTATTTTTTAGATAAAAAATTTAAAATCAAAGTGCAAAGTACATGAAAATATTTGTTTAATTTTTTTCCCTACATGTATGTATAAATTGAATTAATCTTATTTTCCATTATTTACCAGAATGGAGGTAATCCACTTTTAACATTGTAGACAAACGTGGGTAATAACAACAACAAGTATTACCTGATACAACTGTTAAAGGAGAATACCAAGAATGCATACCATGTCTGGCAGAGATGGGGGCGTGTTGGTTATCATGGACAGAACAATCTGGTTCCATGTGGAGGGGACCTAGAGAAGGCTAAAGATGTATTCACAAAAAAGTGGGTTGGCAATCAGTGTTTGATATTAGAGTACAGATAGTTTTATTTCGTGTTTTCAGTACTTGATTGGTTTTACCACAGTTTTAGTGATAATTTAATAGTATACTGTATTACTGTATTTTTGTTTCTGGGAAGTGTTCAAGTCAAGATCAGTGTAGAAATAATGTGAATTTGTCACGTTAAACAAATAGACAAATAAAATAAAGTCAATTGTTTTTATGGATTTGTTTTTCTATTAGGTTTAAAGACAAAACCAAAAATGATTGGTATCAAAGGAAACATTTTGAGAAAGTACCAGGAAAATATGACATGCTAGACATCGATTATGGTGCAAAGGTAATGTATGATGTATCAAGTTAGCTACGTGTGTATACATGGCTCTAGGATCTGTAAAATCAGATCCCATTTTCTTTTTTAATTTATTCAACTCTGTCTTAAGTGAACCTTTATGATCACCATCCAACTTCACTTATGGGTAATTTACGATGAGCTGATTTCATTGTTACTTTCTGAGTAAACCTATAACTATTTCTTTGTATATCTTTTCACTCCATATTTGGTGTCAGATTTTTTTTTTAATTAGATATACATATACATAATGTTTATCACTGTCTGGAATTAACCCTCGAACATTTTTCTACTTATTGTACATTGTATATGTACTTTTTGTGTAATTGTTTATCTTTATTTTATAAATAGGGTGAGGATGAAACAGATGCTCCGAAGATCAAAAAGGAGAAATCTGATGTCAAAGTTCCAGACTCCAAGTTAGACAAAAGACTTCAGGTAAATTATCAGGCTTCGGGGCCACCAAGATGTAAAAATCTCAGCTCAAATCTCAACCTCAAATCTTAGATTTCTGCCTCACCTGAGATTTTTCTAAAACACCGTGCCACCAACATTTCTGAGATTCGTCTCACGTAAGCTGAGATTTGAGAAAAATCTTAGACTTATTCTTGTAGTTATATGCGACCTTTTTTCCTTATAATGCACGAAGTTGTTGAATCAATGATTGAATTCACCTTTCAGATAGTTGTTTATACAATATTTTGGTCTATAATCGCGAAAATACACATTCTTTACTTCCTTTGTCTTTTATTTGCTGTTTCGAGTCACTCGGCGGAAAGGATTCCATTACGATCTTTGCGACAATAAATATCCACTGAGTCCCCGTAAAATAATCCCTACAGAAGAAAAACGCAAAACATATCCAAACTTTAAAGTCTTAGTTCGTCTGTCTACATAAACACACAAAAATATACACCGAGGCGTCACTTCCGCCCTTGTGATGTTACGTGTCGAAAGATTACAAAGAGTAGATAGGCGGATCAAGACCATAATATATACAGGCCGATTACACATTTTTTTCTTTTCTTTTGTTTTGTACACTGTCAGATATATCTATTACATTTTACTCTCCATAGCAAAAATGTTTTAAATATAGGGAGTTTTTGTCCCTATTTAGAATAATTTAAAAAAAATCATTTTAAGCGATCAAAGAAAATAAATTTTACCGCCGAAATGATGATTTTAATACTGCAAACTCGGCATTAACAGTAATTAAGAAAACACAGAGTATTTTTTTTTTTATAGCTGATTAAATGCTAATTTTCTCACATGATAATTTTCTTGAGTGTTCCGTAAAATTCGTGCATAAGTTGCGACAGAAAAAATGTCAGTCAAGGGCGAGTAACATAATTACAATTCAATTCAATATACATGTATGCTTGGTTTTAAGTGAACCCAATTTATCAAGAAAATTTCGATACAAATTGTTTAATGTCAGGTTATTTCAGGTATACACACCCCTTCCCCCGAAAAAACAAAAAACCTGAATTGAACTACGGACATGTATGTAGGGACGAGGCTAAATAACACATCACATTTTCCACGATCCCCTGTGAGAAAATGTCACAGGAAAAATATTCTTCTTTTCAGGTATAAAATATATAATAATTATTAATTTCAGATATAATAACAACGAATATAGTGAGCAATATTCGTTGTTACACTGGAAACCTAAATCAATCTAACAATCACTTATCAAGTGACGATTAACTTATTAATTCCTATGAAAAGTTTCACGGCATAATCATGTACTATTTGAAACTTAGGACCATACTTGTTTTTTTTAATCTCAAAATGTAACTGGTTGTATTAAAAAAAAGTCAGGATTATTCTTACAAATAATATAAACGGTCAGGGATATTTGTGTGCGATGCATAGCGAGTATAAAGCAGATGCCCATACGCGGATCTAGAGGGAGGAGGTTGTCGCCCCCCCCCCCCCCCCTGGAATTTGCAAAGTTATTAAAAGTATATACTGAATCAAATAAAAATTGATTTTGGACACCCCCCCCCCCCCCCATTGAAAACGTTGACCCCACCACTACCAGAACGAAATAGGTTTTTCACGTTTGTGAAACAGATTTTTTTTTTCATTTCAAGAAATTTTCGCGGTTTGATACTTTTGAGAAATCAGTTTTACTTGTCTAGAAATTTCTGGGTTGGATTTTTTTTTTGACTTGGATGACCCCCCCCCCCCCCACCCACTGGAAAGAATTACTGGATCCCTACTCTCAATTAAGAATTTTATAGATTTAGTGAAGATCCAAATTAGACAGATTGCTATCATCAGTGATTAATAAATGGTGATTTATGAATAAATAGAATATTTTTACACAGAAATTTAGACAATGTTTTTTTTTAATATTTGCGTATAATTTACAGATTAGGTACGTATATTGTACAAGTAAAAAATAACTACCGGAGAAAGAACAAAGAAGAGGCCGTGGAGATTTAATATTATCTAATCATATTTTCTTTTCTGATATACATGTATATATAATGTGAATTAATAAATATGCCTAACCATGAGTAGCACACTAAAATGTGAATTTAATTAATAAATGAAAATAATTCTTGCATGAATGAAGATATACATGTTATGTAAAACGTGTCACAAGAATATTGATTTTATTCCTTATTTTTTTTTCTTTTGATATAGTTTCAAGTGCATTGTTTCATTGCGTGGACAATATTATGAGATTATGAGATTTTTTACATGTGCGTAAGACCCCCCCCCCCCCTTCTTAAAAACGTATGATCTTGGTTTGGGAGAAATAAACATGCTCTCTGTGTTTGCACGTTAATTTCATGTATTCATGGATTAACGTGTGCACTGTCATAATATTTGCAACCATCTTACCATAAAATAATTCTGTGAGATTTTATTTGAGACTACTATGTACCAATATCAAGATTTTCTGAGAAATCTCAGATTTTTTTCTCAGCTGAGTCAGAAAAAATGTTGGTGGTACGCACGTTTCAGAGAAATCTCAGATTTGAGAAAAATCTCAGATTTAAGAAAAAACTCAAAAGATAAGTCTGAGTTTGAGAAAATATTTCATTGGTGGCACAGTTTGGTGAGAAAAACTCAAATTTTCCGAGAAATCTCAGATTTGAGAAAATCTCAGCGTTGGTGGCCCCGAAGCCAGATAGTTTTATTTAAGTAATATATGTAATGAAATCTTATAAAGGTGGTTGCTATATGCAAACAATTTCAAAAGTTTATAATATAAACTTTATATAAGAATCTTTTAATCTTTTGATGATATATGTACAAGGCATTTATTAATGTTCAGATTTTAAGATATGACTTAGTCAATAAAACCTTACTTTGAAATGATTATTCCTGTTGATTTCAGGACCTGATGAATTTGATATGTGATATTAAGATAATGGAGGACACAGTACGAGAAATGAAATATGACTGTATTAAGGCACCACTAGGTATGTGGCATGTAGTATAGAAAATATTATCAAAATTAATGTACATTTAGAACATACTCTGCAGTAACCTCAACAGTTTGTAAATTGGGCTCAAAATTTTCAAAACATGAGCACAAAATTTATGGCAGGTGCTATAAAGTATTATTTTTTCTTTAAATTTTGTAGGTAAGCTGACAAGTGACCAAATAAAGGCTGGATACTCAGCTCTGAAGACTATTGATGCCTGTGTAGAGAAGGGAGACTTTGGGAGAAAACTGACTGATGCTTGTAATGACTTCTACACAAGAATTCCTCATGACTTTGGGTAAATATTTGTGATATATGTTCTGAAATCACAATCTTAACATAAATGGCAAAACATTGACAGTTATTGAAAATAATAGGAAACAAATGCACATACTTCCTTTTGTATGATTCTTGATGTATTTTTTTTTATTAACAACATATTAAATTGGATATTAAAAATAGTTTTGACCAAAAAAAATCTATTTTTGAGGATTTGGTGTGATGGGATATACACTGTATATATTTTCAGCCTTCTAAGTTATGCATATTTGATGTCCTTGTTAAGATTGAATATTAATATAGAGTTACTGTGTAAACTTTGCAGTATGAGAACACCCCCTGTCATCAGAGACAAGGAAACAGTGAAGGCAAAACTACAACTCTTAGAGGTGAGACAAGACTGAACCTAGGTATTTTCCCAAGATCTAGTGATTAAATAGGTCAGGTAAAGTTTGAAGAGACATTTATACAGTGGTCATGCTGTTCTCACTTACATTGTAGATGGCCCTAAAATCACTGCATTTCTACAAAATCACACTAATGTATGTTAATTTTTGCTGATTTGGATGTAGTTTTGCAGAGTGATTTTGCTACATGTATGCACTTTGCTTAATGAATAATTTTCTATTCATAAACAGTCATTGGAAGACATTGAGATTGCCATGAAAACTCTGAAAAGTGGAGATTACTCGGAGAATCCAATAGACAGACATTACCATGCCCTGAAGTGTGAACTGCAGCCAATGGACAAATCAGCTGATGAATTTAAAGTATGATGCATATCATTATTTAGCTCTATTATAGATTATCTTACGGTATAAGCAGAATTTTTAGCGAGGATGCTAAAATTGAATATCGCTAAAATTTAATTGCATTTTATTTGTAATAGCTTCTTAAATGAGCATTTTAAAATCACTAAAATTACTTCTAGCTAAAAATAAAATACAATTTTTAAGGACAAATGGCTAAATTTGCATCTCGATAAATTTCCAGTCTTCCACTTATACGGTATTTATTAAGTTAAAGTTCATTGTGCTACAACAAGGTTTATTTACACTACATGTAGGACAGTTAAATCCTTTCTTTTTTTTCTCATGTCTATATATGCAGATGTATGTACTTTATGTCGGATCTGTGCATGTGTAAAATAATGTTTATTAAACTTGTAAAAATGCATGTTATGAAAACTTGTTAGATAATGTTATGTGTATCTTTTTAAGTTTTTTGTGATTTATTGGTGTGTAAATAATACAGACATGTAGGCACATTCCTTATATTTACATTTTGCATGTTTAAAGAAAGTTTGCCTCATATCGTTATTTTTTAGCTTTCCTGTGCAGAAAGCTCAAGTGAGCTTTTCTGATTACCCGTTGTCTGTCGTCTGTCCGTCTGTAAACTTTTCACATTTTCAACTTCTTCTCAAGAACCACAGGGCTAATTTTAACCTAAGTTAGTCCAAAGCATCCTTGAGTGAAGGGGAGTTTAATGAAGGGCCAAGCCCCCTTACAAGGGGAGATAATCAAGAACAGACAAAAATAGGGTGGGGTCATAAAATAATCTTCTTCTTAAGAACCACTGGGCCAGAAAAGCTCAAACTTATGTGGAAGCATCCTGGGGTAGTGTAGATTCTAAATTGTTCAAATCATGACCCCCGGGGGTAGGCTAGGGTAACAATAGGGAATCCAAGTTTAACATTGAGATATATAGGAAACATACATGTGATTCTTCCGGCGGGAGACAAAATCTCCCGATATTTCACCCCCCTTCCGCCCCTCCCGATTAATTTTTAAATCTTCCGTGTTTTAAAATTCTTCAAATTAAATATTATTTGCAATATTTTTTTGATCGTGTTTCATATAATTGCTCAGAATAAAAAGAAATTGAGATAACAACGCCAGTGCAATAAATTTTCACAGCGGTAGGCTTCGTAGGAATCAACATGAGGTAGTATAATTATGTTGTAAAAATTAGTGATATATCAACTTGATAAAAGACCATTGATGTTTATTACTGAATGCAAAACATTGTAATTAGTTGCTAAAATACACAGTTGCCATCTTCTAATGCTGCTTTGGTCATTAAAAGATACAGTTATAATGTAGGTCACACTCTAGTTAAAAATAGATCACACTACAGGGTGTTGCTAAAATATACCTGACTCTTAATTTGTTTATTTTTTTAGAGGGTACTTTTTTTCATCTGTACATATTCTATTTAAAAACAAATTACTGACATAGAATTTGTAACACAAAACCTAGCTATATTTTACTTCACTTACTAGTTGATATATCAATACTAAATCAAAAATAAAATTTTATCCAATGTTTTAATGATGCTGTTAACTCTTAATTAATTTACTAGGAAATGAGTTGATTTCATTTTGAATACTCAATTTCACTTCATTTGAATAAAAACTTTATCATATTTTTCTTAAAACTAAACAACAACTTTATAAAATAAAATTTGTAAAGTAATAAACTGGGAGAAGGTATTTTTCCTGAATTTTGGGGGTTGGATGGTCTTTTGCGATTTGAAAAAATGTCGATAAAAAATCTCCAGCTTTGAGACCCAAACTCCAGCTGAAAATTTTCAAATCTCCAGTTGTGATTTTTCAGTTCTGTCACATGTATGAGGAAAAATTTTATTCCCAAGAACCACTTGACCAGAAAAGCTCAAACTTAAGTGGAAGCATCCTAAGGTAGTGTAGATTCTGAATTGTTCAAATCATGACCCTTGGGTGTAGGGCGGGGCCACAATAGGGAATCCAAGTTTTACATTGAAATATATAGAAAAAAATCTCTAACAATTTTCTTCTCAAGAACCACTGGACCAGAAAAGCTGAAACTTATGTGGAAACATCTTAGGGTAGTGTAGATTCTAAATTGTTCAAATCATGATCCCCGGGGCTAGGATGGGGCCACAACAGGTATTACAAGGGGGGAAATCTTATGAAGAACAGCAGGACCAGTTTCAGGTGAGCATTGTGGCCCATGGGCCTCTTGTTTACTAACGTCTCTGAAGCCTCTTTATGAAGTCACAAAGAGGCTCCAGAGGTATTTTTTGTCTGGAATACTTCTAAATGAACTAAGAAGTTATTTTTTTTTACAAAAGGAGTATGGAATAGGCTAACATTTGAAATCCATACACAATTAAACCCTTTTCCTGAGGAGTATTAGAGGTGTTTCTCTTTTCAGATGATAAATGAATATCTTCAGAATACTCATGCAGCTACACACAACCAATATAAAATGCAGATTGAAGATGTTTTTGAAGTTGATAAAGAAAATGAAGCAAAGCAGTTTGTAGACCACAGCAACAAGTAAGAAACTGACCACATGTAAGCTGATGTTAGGGTATGGATGGTCCATGAAGCTGTACTTCATTTCTTTATATCATTTTATTATTTTGTAGAATGCTGTTGTGGCATGGTTCTCGTTTAACTAATTGGGTTGGCATCCTCTCAAAAGGTCTGAGAATTGCCCCTCCTGAGGCGCCTGTTACTGGTTACATGGTAAAAATTTAACTATTTGTACATTTTGATGAGAATTTTGAATTTTCTTTTGCATATTACAATAATTTTAATTGCCTAGCATTTCTTTCACAAATTATACTTTTAAAGTATGTGTTTTCAGCAGATTGTGATTTAAATGGCTAAGAATGTATATTTTGTTTATGAAGTGACTAAGTACTAACTAGTGACTTCCATTGTAGTTTGGAAAAGGAGTGTATTTTGCTGATATGTCTAGTAAAAGTGCCAACTACTGTTTTACAACAAGATCTAAAAACATTGGTTTATTACTCCTATGTGAGGTATGATAACTATTTTCTCTACACGTTCTTCATTATAATGTACAGTTTGTACTCAATTAAAAATAAAGTAAAATGCATTTTCTAAGTACTATAAATGTAGTTTTTCCACCGAGTCGTATTTCCGGGAATCACAATTCTTGTTGAATCCATGGCTAGAATATTATGCAGATTTCTTACATTGTAATTGTATGTCTTAAATGCATTTAAAGTAGGCTGTGACAAATTTTCACAGAAAATTTGTTACCGCCTACATACCGTAAATGAATCCCACATGGAGATAAAAGTATATCTACAGTTAGTTAAGTTTATTCTAAAGGATGTATTTTTTGTGCTCGTATAATAATTATCTTCTGTATTAAAATGTAATATTTTTCATTTATTATATCTTTTCTACATATAAATTACTAGTAATGTATTTTCTTCCCTGTCTCTTAATTGTAAATGCTATTTGTCCATTGATCAGGTGTCCTTGGGAACCACAAATGATTTACTGGCAGCAGACTACAAGGCAGATAAGCTACCACCAGGAAAACACAGTGTTAAAGGCTTGGGAGCAGTGGCCCCAGATCCCACTAAACATAAAGTACTGTAAGTATGACAGCAATATGGAGCTTAACATCAGTAATCTTAGACAACAACTGAAAAAAAATGTAACGGGGGTAAGTATGAGATACATGTAGTATGTACATGTAAATAATTTAAATCATTTTTCTAGAACCATTTTTAAAGCGTACATTTCTGTGTCAAACATTGAATGTTCCCTTTTTTCCAGGCCTGACGGGACAGTTGTTCCTCTAGGAAAGAGTAAGAACACTAATGTGAAAAATCCTCATGGATACACACTGAATTACAACGAGTTTATAGTGTATGACACCAAACAGATCAAAATGAAGTATCTAGTGAAGGTGAAATTCAACTATAAGTGATTGCAATTCAATTCGATATGATTAGCATGGCACATGGCTATACAAGTTAATTTCTATGTACATGAAGGTTGTGAAATCATGTCATATGGAGAATTGATGCACATCACAAATGTCAGTCTGTATTAGCTTACTAGATCTCTGTTAATGATTATGGTTTAAATGTTTATGGTTATTGTTTTGTGTATCTGTAGAAGGCTCAACTTCTCTTGTAGTTTCTTTGATGTCTACAGAGTATTAGTTAAATCTTCTTTCACAGTAGTTGCAAATACTTTGGATATCAATAAAACAAATGCAAAACTACACAGTTTTAAATTTGGTCATTTTATTTGACGAAGATAATTCCTGTTTTTGTAGGTACTATCAGATAATTACAAATTTGTGAAATTGTGCTATCAGTTTCTTATGGGCAAATGACATTTTTGGCAGAATTTCTAAATGTGTAAATGGACATTTTAGCGGGAAAATTCATAGGTCATTAAGGCGGAAGAAAAATTGGTTAACTCTAAAAATTCATTGAACATTTTGGAGGATTTTTTTTCACAGGTAAATTGAATAAAACTCAACTCATTTTAATAGTTTATATATGTTGTGTTTAAATGCTGATTTGATATTTATACCCGAGTCACATTAAGCCGACGGTTGGGTGACCAGTTTTTCTTGAATCGGGCTGAAAAAAACACAATCGGCTGACACTAGTACGGGCGAAGCCAAGCGGTCACTTTAATTCCTGCTGGGCTAGGAGCACCAATGACTCTAAAAGTTTTGTTATTTGTAAGTCGGCAGATCATCGAGCACTGAGCGGAGCTTGATTTTCACTGTCGGCAGATATTTGGGAAAACCATATACGTAAATGTTGACCGAGTTAACAAAATATCTCAGAGGGTTGGACGATAACAGGGTTGTTCATCAGATTATTCCATGACTGCTTCAATTGAAGAAATTGGCCACGGACGCAGAAAAAATTATAACTTGGTGTGACAATATTGGTTGGCCGACGAAAAAAAGAGGTCAAAATTGGGCAGGACATTGGACGATGACTGTTGCCAGAAGAATCCCATTTTTGCCTTTGTCAAAAGCTGTTGGTCATTGGTTGTTTTTTTTTTTTTTTTTTTTTTTTTTTTTGGAAATGTGATGGGTGTAACTATTTAAATGAACATCTTCATAAAATTTTACCATCACCTTCCCATTGGTGAACATACATTGTACTTAATTTGGTTAAAGGAAAAGATACATTTATATATTTATTTATATATTTATTTTACTTAACTATCCACTTAAATGTCCACATCCTATTTTAATTTTCGCTTAATTGTCCAATTGTCAAAGATTCGGGAGCATATAGTTTTTGGTTTGTCCATCCGTCTGACTTTTAATCTATTTGTCCGCAAAAACTTTAATCTTACCCATAACGTTTAAATGCTTGGGCTTTCATATTTTACTTGTGTATAATTCCTTGTGACAATACCTTTCTTCGAGTTCCAACATATTTGACCTCTTGACCTTGGAGTTTGACCTACTTAAAAGTTTTGCAAACTCAAACCTTGGCCAACACTTTTGAATGGTTGGTGCTAAAGCTTTTATATTTCACTTATACATGTGTATATTCCAAGTGACCAGACCTTTCTTTGGGCACCAACATTTTTTACCCTTTCACCTTTACCTTGGAGTTTGACCTAATGTTGAAAAACTTAAACCTTGGCCATAACTTTTGGATGATTGGTTTTCATATATATCACATGTATATTTCTTGTGACAAGACCTTCTTTTGGGTACCAACATTTTTGACCTACTGACCTTAACTTTTGAGTTTGACCTACATTTGTGAAAAAAAATAACGTTGCCTATAACTTTTGAAGGTCTGGTAGTAGGGCTTTTATGTTTCACTTATGTATTCCTTGTGACAGGACTTTAAATATTTTTTTTACCTCATGACCTTGACCTTGGAGTATGACTTACCTTTGAAAAACTTTAACCTTGGCTATATTTTCTGAATGGTTGATGCTAGGGTTTTTATATGTTACCTATTGCATTCCTTGTGACAATACCTTCCTTTGGGTACCAACATTTTTTAACTTTTGACTTTGACTGTGGAGTTTGACCTACATTTGAAAAACTTAAACTTTGGGTTTGAGCTGCCATACTGGGACATCAGTGTTTCACAAACACATATTGTTTCCAGCCAAAATGTCTGTCGATCCGCTAAAATGTCAAACGCCGGTTTCAAATGCCTCTAATATTGTTGAAGTAGATTTTTAACCATTCTTTCTGTGGCCCGCGTGGAGCAGTGGTTAGAGTCGCGGTGTAAGGAGTTGATCCTTACGTCGTGGGTTCGAATCCCACTGCGGGACGTGGAGACCTTACCTTCGGATGAGATCGTATAAACCGAGGTCCCGTGTCGCAGTAGGTGCTTGCTCGAAAAAGGTCCCTCACTGCTCAATGGCCCTAAGTGCCGAGTAAAGGTCTAAATTTGCAGCCCTCCACCAGCGTGGTGGCGTCTCCATATGAGTGAAAATTCTCGGGAGGGACAATAAACAACAAACAAATCATTCTGTCTTGCTACTAATTGATTTTTTGTTTTATGAAGGATCGTTGTTAAACCATTATAATGGGTTTTGCGATCCTTTAGTTTGTCCCTGTATTAAATAAATAAATAAAATTAAATTCTATTACGGTTATTGCAAAGATCAATACATCACAAACTCATCAATAAATTATCAGTAAATAAATGCTTTCACGGGGAAAAGATGGGAGAGAAAGTTTGATTCGGATTACATCGCTTTTTTGTAATACGTGAAGTGCAAATTGTGAGGTCAAAACACACTTCTGTTGACGTTGAAGTCTAGCTGAATCCCCCTTCCTCCATACTAGAATTTAAAAAATTACCGTAACAGATCAGAAATAAGTTCTGTCGTTGGAATGGTCTCGAAATTTTGTTGCCCTTTTGGCTAAGATTTTATTTACCAATAAAACCTTTCAACAGTCGGGGTATGTTCTCCAACAATGCCTCTGGATTATTTTTAAAATAAACGCGGAGAACAGTAAAAAAAGTTTATCTATATGACTGTAATTTCAATATGTATTTCGTTAATTTGAAGGGGAAAAAAACTGTTGCTTACAATTTAAAATTATTATATCTACATATTGAATTATTTTGTATTAGGAAAACGAACTAAATAGTACACAAACATGAATTATTTTTTAACCATTTTTCAATTTTGCTCATCTTTTCGGAGGTAAGTCATTAAAAGCAGTAGATTTTATATTATACTTTTGCTAAAATGTTTCGGAGGTGAAAAAACATAAAGTCTTACACATTTTTCAAATATACTCTTAGTAAATTTATACCCTGGAAACACATTGTGCCATCAGCCCCTCGGAATGTCTATTCATCAGTTTAGCAGATTTGATAAAAGAGTTGTCAAACTCGGTGGATAAGTGTAAAGCAATGTAATGAAAGCAAATTCATAAAGTCCTGTAAATGGAAAAAAATGTTTAATTTTTTGCATAGTTTCCTAAAAAACATTTATAGGAAAACAGACAAGGAAGAAATGCTTTGTGCATATTAAATGTTATATTCAATTCAATTTATTGACATTAACATGTTGGCAAACAGTCAAGATAACAAACCAAATGAAAGACAACAGAAAAAAAATATTATAATGGCTAGAGCATGCAAGACAAATCCACAGAATTCTTTATTGTCCATGCATATGTTTTCTTTGCATAAAGAGTGTATCTAAATATCTACACGTTTTGTAGTGTTATAATCGCATGGCTTAAACAATTTCTTTAATGAGATCAATGCCACAGTATTATTTAATCACTAAAAAATAAAATCGAAATAAAATACAAAATGTATTTAGTTTTCAACAAATAATTTACAAGCATAGTTTTTCCTTAGGGACTATTGATTTACTTTAGGTTCACAATTTATTAAAACTGCCTGTTTCAGTAAATAACGAATAACGACTCGTTCATTTTGTTTCGCATGTTTTCAAAGAAAATTTAACGTAATCCTGCAATTTATATTCAGTACAATTTAATATTTTACTATAAAGTTTTTCCGAGTTAGATGATGAGATTTTGCTCAATTGTTCATAGATCATGTCAACAAGTTTTATTTAACTTAAACGTATACGCCTTATGGGAAATTTTTAAAGCATTCAAGTGTAGTTTTTGTTGAAGATTAAAAAGCTTGTTTTGCTATGAAGTACATGTACAGCTCTTTTTCAAAGCTAACTCTTTGTCCTCTTGAAGGCCGATACTAAAATTGCATCATTGTTTGTGGTTCTTAATTCCAAATCTCTTAATCTGATATAGTATTTAAATATGTGTTCCTAACATAGATAGGAGAGTGTATAAGGACCAAGTTCAGCATTGTCTGCTTAATTTGATGCTTTTCTATGTACATGTGAACACCTAGAATATCTTCGAGAATATGAAATTGTGTGTGTGTGTGTGTGTTCTTGAAATGGAAAACATTCTGAGGATTAATATTTAATTCATAATTTGTATAGACATTCAGCATAATGCTGATATACTAAATAATTAGCTGCACCTCTATCTTCAAATATTTGGACTTATTTTTGGTTCTTTGTGTCACAACTTGGAAAGTTTCTGAAGAGTATTTTGTTGATTTAATTGTTGTTTAACAAGATCTGCTGCATGCACTCCGCACCCCCAGCTTAGACAGACACCATCTAATCCGTGTCCATAATTATGGACTACCTACATCAAAAAGTATATGTTGGAGCATCAGGTATGTAAATTTATTACCATTATTAACACACTCGAAAAAAGGAAAAGTTTATATTAAGAAAATAGGACAGTATTTCATAATTATGACAGAGCAGACAGGTATATGTTAGATCATCAGGTATGTAAATTTATTACCATTATTAACAAACTCAAAAAAGGAAAAGTTTATATTAATTAAGAAAATGAGAAGTATTTCATAATTATTAAAGTTAGAGCAAACATTGAGTATTGGACACTTACAGGTATATGTCTTCCTCTGATTGTGATAGATTCCACTTCCAGTCGTACACTCGATCTCCAAGGTCTCAGTCCTACCCAGGTACGCTCAATCTCGGCGTGTTTCAGCGAGGGAACCAAATTACAACATCGCTTTATGATGTCGTCATAATACCTTTGGTCTTTCTCCAATCTCTCTTCTCCACGCTGCCGAGTTCCGCCAAGAACAACATTGTCCTGACTATTTAAAAAAAAACAAGGTATGTGGATATGTGCATTTCAAGGCCATTTAATGCATTAATTCAGTAGGTATTCATTTATAATGGTAAACAAATCATAAAGTACCAAAGTATGACGTGATTTGAAGATTACTGGCTATTGCAAGAATTGGGGACGCTCTCTCTCTCTCTCTCTCTCATATATATATATATATAGAGAGAGAGAGAGACGCATCCCAGAGACTGACTTATTTGCTTAAGTCAAGATTTGCAATCTAAAAACTGCAATTACACACAGTTTGGCATCATTCCTGCGTTATTAAAATTTAGGCATATGTATGACAATCAATGTCAATGCGAGTGAATTAGCATGTACATACATCAGAGATCAAGAGATCACATTTGCATTAACACCAGATTGAACGTTTCTAATGACCAATTTGTATTTAAAATAACAATAGTTATATGTAAGACCCACTTAAATTTCTTTAAATCTATATATATGCAATACTTTCATGTAATGTGAGAATTCTAAAGTACCTTAATGTTATCATGCGCGGATCCAGGATTTTTTTTACTAGGGGATGGGGGTTGGGGGGTGGGTGGAGGGTTGCATACCCACTAAAAATAATCCACCACAAATATTTTTAAAAGTATATTTTTTTTTGAAAAGGAAATTTGTTCACACTCGAAAAACCTATTGGGGGAGGGGGGGGGGGGGTCAAGTCGATTTCCTAAACATATTGTATACATAATGACTCGTCTTACCATTTTACCAGTGGTCCGTGTTTTTCTTAGAGAGGAGGGTGTCAAAGGTCATATTTTTTCCTTATTTTACTATACAAATTTGAAAACTTTGAAAGTTCAATTAAGTGAGGGGGAATCTGGACCCCCCCCCCCCCTTGCTAGATCTGCGCATGATAATAATTTTATAAAATTTTATCTTACGATGTTTCGAATTTAAAACTTGCGCTGCTACACTTAAGATAGTATAAATGGGGAAAAAATTTCAGATATCAGGGATTTTTTTATTACTCTAGTTAGTAGTTACCCTGGGTAGATGTATGTATCACCGTTGTCGGCAATATAGAAGCTTTTAATCCAAGGCGCCTTCACCTGCAAAAGTATGTAATTACTGCATAACCGTATTCCTGTTATTTTAGTGTATTTCAACAATAATCGTGTTCTATCGCAAGTTAGGCGGCCACAATTTTACGTAAATAAGTTTTTCCCCCCTTTTTGTTCACGCTTTAAATTTCAAATGAGTAAACGTCCCAATTAAGGATTCAAAAGAACCCAAAACTTACACGAATTGTATGTCCTCGTATTGGCACCATTTCCTTATCCTTGAACAGTGTCCTACTTCTCAGTCCTGTGCAGTTTACTATGATGTCATAAAACTGTTCAATCTAATAAACATGTATTTTATGCGCTGGTTGCACATTCCATAATTAATTATTAAAACAAGGATGTGTTTGTTTGTTATTTGCATATTTTCATGTCAAATGGATTGGACGCAAGTTTCAAAAACTCTAACTGGTCACTCATATAAAAAATGTAGGTCACATTCGTATATCCAAAGTTTATGCATTCCCAGATGCAACAAATGGGTTGGTCAATGTTCGGTTTAAAATTACTGGGGAAATGGACGTGCTTAAGTTTTGACCTGTTTACGGAGATAAAGACAAGCATGCCATATATGGTTGTGTAGATAAATTATGTAGAAAACAATGGTAACGCCAAAGCATTTTCTCTGAAAGTGTAATTGACTTCGATTCTGGGGAGAGGGTACTTTATGTAATTCGGAGTTAGATATCTTGTGTTATTATTATACTATGATTAAAAAAAATATTACAGAAAAAGTGCCTGTGATGCAACTTCTAAGATTTATCAATGTATCTAACTTTTCTATGATCACTCATCAATAACATATAGGTCACATGCAAAATCCGCATTGAAGTATGTATCATCAGAAACACCATCAATGCAAGTTTGGTAAAGCAACATGGGGAAAATTTTGCTGAAAAACTTAACCTGATACTCATCTGGGAAATACTGGACACATGTAGTATCTGGAACCAAACTTCACATCTGTTTCGTGAACCTTAATACAAATACATTCTTATATACATGGATAAAAAAAAAAGCCCTTTGCGACAGAAGCAGATTACACATCTGCAGGACTTCATGTCATTTGCAAAAAAAAATTTCGCTGCATTACGTAGTATGTACACTAAATATAGGAGGAGATCCATGCAATAACAAACTTACATTTTAAACCTTTCCCTTTTAGGCCTTCGGAAATCCTTGGGCCGAATCGATGTTCCAAAAACTACATGATGGGGCGAAAAGACCCCCTACTGGGAAAACAAGCAAATTCAAAGAATTGTGGTCCCACGCTTTCGGTGTCTTAGTGGTTAGGATGCAGTTATTTATGGCATATTGTAACTGTCTTATTTGTGTTTTCTGTCTTGCCTGTGCATCATACAAAAAGACCACAGGTACTTGTGGACAGGACCCCCACCCCAAATAATCGTTCCACACAAAAAATACCCCACTATACTAATGTATAGTGGGGTATTTTTTGTGTGGAACGATTATTTTGGGGTTTTCACGATTTTTTCCTCTGATACACACGATGAATAAGTGCAATAAATATAATTTGTGAAAAAAATGTCCAAGTCCCGGGGTTCAATATCGGGGGGGGGGGGGGGGGGGGTCCTGTCCACAAGTACCTGTGAAAAAGACATGCTATGATTTTTAACCCCATGACCTTGACGTTCAAGTTTAACTAATTTTCAAAATGTTTATCATTTCTGATAACTTCTGAAGGAGAGAAGATATGGCATTTATAATTGACATGTGCATTACATGACAGTACGTTTCTAAATGTACTAACTTTTTTAACCCCATGACCTTGACCTTGAAGTATGAATGTCAATTTTATATTGCTGATAACTTTTGAATGAGAGAAGATAGAGAATGTGCATTATCTATGATAACATCTTTCAGAAAAGTATATCCTTTTTTACTCATGACCTTGACCTAGAATTGGCTATAACTTTTGCTCAAGAAGAGATGAGGCTTTCATATTTTTTGACATGTGCATTACTTGTGACAAGATCTTTCAGATTGTATTTTGATATCTGACCTCAAGATCTTGATCTTGAAGTTTAATGCAGTTTTCAGAAGCTTGAATCTTTGCCATAACTTTTATTAATTCAATAAATATCTTTTTGTGTGATGGACATACAAGACAGGACATACAAGCAAGACAATTACAATATGCCACAAATAATTGCACCCCAACCACTAAAACAAAGAAAGTGGGGGGGGGACCATTCTTTGAATTTGCTTGTTTTAAAGATAAATTCTTTTAGGATTATGAAAGGGAAAAGCCATGTGGAATTAAGAGCCATCTGCCTTCCACTTAGTTTCACTTACCTCGTTAATGTTGTAAAGTCTCTGACGAACTATTTTCCCACCCTTCTCTCTAAATCTACAAGTTTGAATAGAGCCTTATTTGGGGGAATTCAGTAAAAAAAATACATTAAATACAAAAATTACACTGATAAGTATAATCAAACAAGATGTGTTTGTGAAACACTGATGTCCTCGAATGGCAACTCATAGCAAAGGTTAACGTTCTCAAATGCAAGTCAAACTCCAAGATCAAGAGATAAAAAATGTTGATACCCAAAGAAAGGTTTTGTCACAAGGAATAAATGAAATATGAAAGCCCTATCACCAAGCATTCAAAAGGTATGGGCAAGGGTTAAAGGTTTTTTCAGAAGTAGGTCAAACTTCAAGATCTATATCAAAAGGTCCAATTAAATTGTTTATACCCTAGGGAAGATCTTGTCACAAGGAATATACATGCGAAAGATGAAAGCTATAGCTTCAATCATTCAAAAGTTATGGCCAAGATTAGAGTTTTTTATAAGTAGGTCAAACTTTAAGATTAAGGTGAGAAGGACAAAATTGTTTGTACCCAAGAGAAGGTCTTGTCACAAGGAATATGCATGTGAAGTATGAAAGACCTAGCAGCAACCGTTCAAAATTTATGACAGAAGGTGAAAGTTTGGTAAAATTTTGCAAAGGTGGGTCAAACTCCACGGTCAAGGCCAAGAGTTCAAATATGTTAGTACCCAAGAAAGGTCTTGTCACAAAGAATATCCATGTTAAATATGAAAGCCACAGTTCCAACAGATCAAAAGTTAACGACAAGGTTAATGTTTTTGCGGACAGACAGACAGAAGGGCGGATCAAAATCTATATGCCCAAAAAAACTGACTTTTTGCAGTTGATAGCTTTATGTTTGGAAGTGCTGAGTACTATTACAGACAGAACTTACTTCTTCATGAGCCATGGCAAGTAACGTCGACATTCTACCATCAAAGTTTCCGTCGCCCAACCGTATCTATGTATTGTAAATAATAAAACGTTGTAATAAAAACAATAATTTAAAGGTAAGATATATACTAGTTTATCATTTGAATGTGGGTATTTTACAGTCACTGATATTAGGGCATCAATTTACGTGTATTGATAACCACTTTTCATGAATCAAAGTTGTTTAGAATTAAGCTTGTGTAAATACAAACTACATGTATCACTGGCTCTATCTTACGTATAATTGCCTGGAAGTCGTTTTAGCTCTCTCTCGGACAATTTACGATATGCGTAATCAAACTTGCTGTGGAATGGAGTCTGAAATGTTCAAACAATTTTATAGTACAGGATTTTGTTGGGGTTTGTGTTTGTTTTTTTTTTGGGGGGGTTGGGTTGGGTTGGGGGGGGGGTCTTTTTGTTTATACTTTAATCTTCCCGTTAGACGTAATATGCTACGCCGATTGTGCAAATAGTATTTCAGCACAAGCAACAATCAATATATACAGAAAATCAAGAAATTACACATTATGGAAAAATGAAAAAAGAAACAAGTGAACTACATGTATACAATAGGCGACACGCGCAATCATCGTAATATTAAGCAAACTAATCTCGGTTGAGATAATATGGATTATTATACTCTACTGATTTTTCTCTATATAAAATTAGATCGTTAGATGTGAATAATTCCCTAGAAATCGCTGTGAATGGACAAATCCCCGTGTGTTAGTCAAGGGAGCTAATCCCTGTTTCGAAAGCTAATTCCCGGTTATCCGTACTCCTCTAAGATTTACTTCTGTATCGGTATAATAAACAGTAAAAAGTATATCATTGAGGGAGTTAGGAATTCGAAGTTTCCAGTACCCCTCGACCAGGACTATTTCCCGAGGCGAAGCCGAGTGAAGTAACCCTGGCCTTGGAGAACTGGAATCTTGCCAACTCTCTCAATGATAAACTTTAACTGTATACTAAAGCCTTCACCGAACAGTCAGTCTAAATATCTATAGGCTAGCCCAGTCGAATCTCATTCAACATTAATTTAACACGCAAACCTAAATGCGCATTAGTGAAAAAACAAATATTGACAAATTGAAAATGCTTGACAAATATTCATAAGAAAGTTAAACGTACAATGTATGTAACATGTTTTTCACTATATTTGTCTATTAATCTGCTTTTGCGTGCTTTCTTTTGTCCTTTATCAATAACTTAAAAGAAGCAGATTAACACAGGTACAACTACTGTAAAACACTTTTTATTCGCAAGAACTTTATTTTTGCGTAATTACGCGAGGGGACGGTTCGCTCGCCAAAATTTCATTCTAGCGTATATTTTTATTAGTTTAGATTATATAATCAGTAACCAGAATTCGTGAACATTTTGTCTCGCTTATAAATACCCAATACCCATCTTGCGAAAATAAGGTGTCACGAAAATTTGGTGATCTACAGTATTTCCTCATCAGTAAGAAGTAGACAAGAAGGAAGTACATGGATGGTCTATATTTATGATTATTATTAATTAGCTTTCTAGACCTCTTGGCCGCAGGTAAACTTAGTCTAATTATAATCACCTTTAGTGGAGCACATGGCTCAGTTGTCATAAGAGTTTGGCCAGTAACCTGGTTCAAGCCCCGTCGTGGTCACTTGATATGTTGTATTGTGTCCTAAGACAAGGCACTTTATCTGCATTGTCTCAGTCCACCAAGCTGCAATGGGTACCGGCTTGTGCTGAAGGTTAACCTGCAACGGCTGGTGTCTTATCGGGGGGGGGGGGGGGGGGTGTCAATGACTCTCATACGCCTAACACCACAGAAACCGGATGTAAGCCTCGTGGTTCGAAAAAGGATTTTTAAGAAGGCTGGGGGGTTGTGGCCATTTTCAGACTATATTGATCTCCTTTAGAAGAAGAGCTCCATATAAAGATATACAAAAAATGATCAAATTTTAAAACCAAAATTTATGAAATTTTTCTTTGCCAAATGAAAGTTGACAGCTTAAGATATCATACCTAAAAAATTAAGCTATATCTGATGGTTAATTTGTTGACCCCCCCCCCCAAACTCCTTAAAACTCAATACCATCACTATTAGTTTACTCATTAATGGAGTACCCCCCCACCCCCCCATAGACACACACTTACACACCCATCCCAGCTAAATGCGAAAAATTATCAAGTAGCAAATCACAACCATTGTTCCCTCTACCTACATGTAGTTAAAATTATGGAGCCAAGGCCCCTCCTCATTGAATAGTCATCAAAACTGGATTTCATACAAGTACATGTATGTCTTGAATCTAAAATATATGATTAAACGTTTGTAAAAATAAATTAGATGTCATAAAACAGTTATACCCGCACGCAAGTGTTCGCCTCTAAACCACTTCGGACCTGTTAACTAGCAAAGAACCATAAATAGAAACAATTTTTTGTTTGTTTCTCCCTTCGAGAATTTTTCACTCATATTGCGACGCCACTACTTGCCGGTGGAGGGCTGCAAATTTTCTATATGTGCAACATATCAAAAATTGACCCCCGTTGAAAAATGACCTCCCCCCCCCCCCTTCCCAACAGAGTGATACAAGGTTTATAAAAAGGTGATTGATGATAAGGTTTGGTTCTCAACGTTTAATTCTCTTGTGTTTTTCTGACGAACATTGGAAGAACACGCAATTAAAATGTTATATAAGATCATAACATGCGTTTAGATCTATTATACCTATTTGGATATTTTACTAGAGAAAGACACTAATGGCAAACTAACAAAAAAACTATGATAAACATGATGACTTCAACTTTTCTAATGTCCACTCCTCTTATTTATGTAGCAAAATGTTCATTATTTCATTATCACCTGCATATTGAGTTTATGTCTCCCAGTTTATTCAATACGCGAGAGCATGTTCTACTTATGAACAATTTCTATAACGAGGCAAACTATTGACAAATAAGTTGATAATGCAAGGATATCAACAGTCTCCTTTTGTCAAAAATTCGCAAATTTTATGGTCGACACAATGACCTTTTTAGCATATATATACGAGTACAATCTATCGTTAAGTCGAATGATGACTGACGTTTTTCATACAAATTGTTAGGCCATTATTTTCACACTGACTTGTTTACGGATTTTCCGTTTGCCTAATCATGAAAATGAGCAACAGCGGGTGTGACCGGTCGACAGGGGATGCTTTCTCCTCCATGGCACCTGATCCCACCTCTAATGATTTTTTAAAGGTCCGTGTTAGCTCTTCTCCAATGTAATGTTTCGATGGACATTTGAGCTTGGTTACTGGTCGTTATCTTCAATTAAAATATTTCACCTATTGAATTTTAGCACACAATAAAAATCGCACAATAGGTACGTCACAGTGCCTATTGGTTAAAACTGTTATCTTAATCTTTCTCTCTCATTCGTTTCATATTTTGATAGTTTACTAATCATAAACGTTTGTTGCCAAACTAGCAACTAAACTATTGATAAACGGGATGATCTCCGAATCGACCACTTCTAACATGTTTTTAAGTACTAAAATTCTACAATCACCTGCATATGTATGTAAGTCTCTAACTCATTCGGTAGGCTAGACCATGCTCTGTATACGATCAACTTTTAAACAGGCAGGATACTGACAAATAAGATGATGCATCAGGGCTTTCAACAGTCTCATTAAAGTCAGCATCTCAAAAATCCATGGGTCATCATAATGACATTGTAAGCAAATACATTTATTTTTCCATTTTTTTAAATTTTGCAAGGTTACTAGTATACACTTAATAATTTTAGAATCTTAATAACTTTAACAAATTTACGAAAATCTATGAAGGCCATAGCATTTATAAATATGGAATATAATTCAATAATATGGTGCCATTGAAGCCCAGAAAAAAAATATATAATTGTTTGGAGAAAAATGTTCAGACAAATAAGGTTCTAACAAGTTTATTTTTCGTTCGGACGAACAAAATATTTGGGTGGACAAATAAGTTCTTCCTTCGTACAAATTGAATACACTTAGAAGAAAGTAGATTACATTGTTTTTTAATTGTTCGGACGAACTGCCAGGGGCATTTGCTTGGACAACTTAGCGAAGTATATATTTGTTCGAACAGATTTGATGTTTCTTCTTTATACAAGATTTATCATTCATTTAATAAAGGAGAGCAGGCATGAAAATCAAAGATAGTACATGTATAAAGCACATGGATTAATTGCACTTTGGAGATGAAATATGGATGTCTGCATGATCAAGTCTGTTTTATTGACTCCATCCCTTTGAGGTTTCTGGGGTTTAAGTTAAGTTTCACTTGCAGTTTAGATTAAAATTGCTTGTATCTCCACTTTTGTTTGCTATATATATAATAGATAATTAGTTAATGCTTTTTCTTTCGGTTTGAATGAAAATGTACCAAAGGTATCTAAAACACCACAGAATTCCTCTTATTCAAATTGTAAGATACTTTCGTTATATATCCGAAAATCACATGTTTTTACACTGTTAAAATCACTGACTTAACACTCAAATACTCAAACTTGATCAACAGATATGTCTTTCACTAATTAAAAAATTTCAATTGCCAATGACTACATGATTATTTTCAAGTGCAAATCAGTAGCATAAGAAGCGCCTTAGGCCAAGAATGCAACAAAATGGGATATATCAATTAATTAGTCTTGTACTCGTTGACCCCCCCCCCCTCCCCGATGAAGCATAAATTCAGCAAAAAATGGCTGTGAGAGAAGGCTATAGTTTTAAACGAAGTGTTTTAAAATTTTGACCCCCCAATTGGTCTGTAAAGTGTAAGAGGAGTTATGAGAATCAAGTTTTTGTGGAAAAATGTCAGCTCAAGTTATCCCAAGGATGAAAATTCTGAAATGTTTTGCACATCTACACTAGGATACCACCAATCATTTTTCAAAAGAAGTATTGCTTTAGCGAAAAATGTAAAAAGAGGCCTGGGATCACGTTTTAAAAACAGAATCCATCTTTCTAAAACGTTTTAAACTGCATATATACTGCGTTAAATTCTTTAATTTCAGACTGGTGAAGAACATTTAATATGGGCCACATATTTACCTGTGCATATAATGTACAATTTGATAAATGCATGTTTATGTACATTGTTGGTAACTTTTGTGGCTTCTTAGCTAGGACCCAATACGAAGGAAAGGTTCATTTAAACCAAAACACTAATTTTCAAGCTTTACTGTACATGATAGCATGATTTTATTTTGATTAGGGACTAACAGATATCATATTCTGTATGAAGGCGGGGAGGGGGGGGGGGGGCTTAATTAACATCAAAGTACTCAGAAGTACAGAGAGCCGGGCTTATTTACAGAGTAGTGAACAAAGACCATTTACATGAAAAATACATTGTAATATAGCAGATAAATAACAAGAAACTGGAAGAATTTGTAACACAAAAAGGATATTTCTATTGCATATAACATTTAAAAAAAAATGTCCAAAAAATAAAATAAAATATAGTAAAAATTTAACAGCATTAACATTTTATCACATGCATCGTTCTAGGGTCTTATGCCACTTATAGAAGTAAATGAACATTCATGCAGCAAGGACAAACGTTTGTGCACGGATAGAGTCGTCGGGGGAAAAGGGGGGGGGGGAGTTTTACAGCAAGGTGTACATCAGGTCACGTGCATCAGTGTAGCCTGGTAACAGAACCTCTATTTATAGAATATGACGCAGACAGGGGAACCTGATGAAAACCTTTCGCATATTTTAAATATTAAAAATTAAATAAATAATTGATAATTAGAGGATTACCATTAATTTTAGTCACCCGCGTGGCGCAGTGGTTAGAGCGTCTGCTCTAGAGTCACGAGGTAAGGAGTTGATCCTTACGTCGCGGGTTCGAATCCCACTGTGGGACGTGGAGACCGGTCCTTCGGATGAGATCGTATAAACCGAGGTCCCGTGTCGCAGTGGGTGTAGGCTCGAAAAAGACCCCTCACTGCTCAATTGCCGTAAGTGCCGAGCATAGGAAAAAATTTGCAGCTCTCCAACGGCAAGTGGTGGCGTCTCCATATGAGTGAAAAATTCTCGAGAGGGACGTTAAACAACATACAAACAAACAAAAAACCATTAATTTTATCTGATTAAAAATTTCCTCAGTTTATTGTCTCAAAAGCGGCTGAGCATACGTACTATATTTTTACTCGTAATTTTGATTTGGCGGTGAGGAAGCAACACATCCGGTTGAACACCATGACAGAAGCCGGCTATGGCTCTACGAGCCCGGCTAAAAATGATCGTGATGCATGTTATTCTTACCATTGTCTTTTATGAAGTATTGACACAAGATCAAGTAGTGTATGCACTATGAGGGGAGGATGGAATTATTCCCCATCAGTAATAAATAAATTAAAAGTTATTGATTGATTGATTGTAGTTTTACGTCCCGTTCGAGAATTAATTAAATGTTATTTACAAGAGACCAAGAGCGTTAATGAATACTCAATGCGCATACTAATCACATGTGCAACCAACTGTTGGTGCATTAAATTGTTCGTGTATTTTTCACACATTGCTGCATCACGCAATTTTTTTTTTCATATACGGGTATTTAATCGAGTAAAAATTCATATCCGTATTATTTGTGATATGAAAATGTACAATTTTTGTGCAATGAAGTATTTTTCTTCATTTGCAAAAATATTGTCGACGCAAACGGCGTATTTTCCATTGATTCATGTAACTATGATAAAACTTTCCGGGTAATACGGAAACACGAATTGTAGTGACTCATGCGAGTTTTGCAGACGCTCAAACATGTATTGATTAGAAACGTCGTCTGCAGTGACTTACATAAACTATGTTTTCTTACCGGTTTCTCGGTTCTCCACAGCTGGTAACCATGGAATCTGTGGATTCCGGCGATATTGGCATCTTCAGATATACATATTCTGTGGTACCAATCAAAAGATTCTCTGGCCCAGCGGCTAAATTTATGAACAAAAAGAATATATTTTCATATGACATTAAGAATCTCGAAAAGTAGTTCAGGTAATTCTATTTTTTTTTTTTTTTTTGAAATGGTGATAAACCTACAATAAATTGTTGATGTCTGCATTTGTCCGCTCCGTCATAATCCCGAAATGACCTGCTGCCCCATCACTTGTTGTTTCTGAATCAAACTGATCAGCAATTATAGTAATATCCACATTTGAAACCAGCAACTGCACGTTCACAGCAGCCGACAGCCCTATAACTCCAGCTCCCAAAACACAAACCCTCGACACCATGTCGCCGAATGATTAGGTGGTCATTTAAAATGACCTCTTGAATAAGTCCCTACGATATGAATTAGTATGCAAACACTAAATACACGAAAGTATGGAAGGATTCTAACGCCACAATCAAATGGCTGTTTAGTGACATCTATACTACTACAGTGTATATTAAAATAATAGACTCGAATTTTTGGCCTTTAATACCGATAAATCGGAAGAGAACTGTCGTTTGTTTTATATATTTTAAACATCATTGGTACTTGAAGATTACCAATTTGTTTTTATTTTTTCTCTATTAAGCTTAAAATTCGCTAATTAATAATCAACGAAAATTCCTCAAAAATCATCTGGATTTTTTTGGATTTTACAATCTTGCGCGTGCGTATTACATTCACGCTAGATCACGGTGTTCAAATCAGTAATTTGTACTAAGTAGATATATATTTGTATATTTTTTATAGTTTTCTCTAATAAGAAATCATAAATATATATGAACAAAATATATAGCATATTTCCAATGAAAATTTACACTTATTTGTATTAATGTTTCTAAGTATATCCATGCAAGTGTGATATTGTGGCCACGTGGGTAATCATTCGCCATCTAGGAGACACATTTATTAAATGTTATTTATGTCTCTGGTCATCTCAACGGAGGCAAAAAGCTCATGATCGTAGGAGCAAAATTAATGTAACTACCCGATTTTATTTTATCCTTCCTTTCTTTTATGCTTTTTTGAGGGTAAATGGGGGGGGGGGGGGTGTGTTACAACTCCAGCTAGAATCACATCTTAGTGAAGTAGGCATTCTTTTTCCGCCAAAAATTACAATAACATTATTTTCATTTCTTAACTTTGAAATAAATCGAAATAATTAAATAACGTCAATATAACCGATATTTTCAATTTGAAATGTGTCTAAATGATTGCAACTTGAATTTGATCGCCATGTTTACTATTACCTTCACTGCTGAGATTTATAACTTCACCTCCAAAAATTTCATTAACTTTCAAAAAAAAGTGGGTGAAATATGTAAATTATTGTTATTGAACTTCGGTACGTTATATAGAAGGGACAGCCTGTTCTTCTAAATATGCAAAGGTTGTCGTGGTAACTACGCTTGATAGGTAGTCTGAAGTCAGCCCTTGCGGCCCGTACAGTTCATTCTATCAATGCTGCTAAAATACCGATTGTTTTTAAAATTTAATCCATGCATAGTAAATCTCAAAACTATGAGGTGGGACAAAATTAAGATCGTAAAAATATTTGTTCAATGATGAAATGAATTATATTTAATCGTAGCAAACAAACTTATGTTTTATTAAATCGCCACAAGAAAAAATACACCAGCGTGAAAACAAGTTGTCTTCTTCAGCAGCCATGACAGTTCTCATGTGATGTAATGACTTTTGATTGAAAACGTTTAATACTGCAGTAGATTAATTTTTGTTATCACAAAACAGATATATAAATGTTTATGAGGTATTTATTTTATTTTTGCTGGATTATTTACATGTACGTATGAAGTAAGAAAAATTCCCATATACAGTTCAAGATCCGCTCCCAAATTCTCATTGGCTGTCCCAAAATAAAATCGGTAAAGGTTAGTAAGCTTTAAAGTTTGCGGTAAACTCAGACTTTACTAAATATTATGGAAAAATTTATGCTCTGAAAAATAACATTAGAAACATTTATTTTAAAATGTTCCTGATTACATTGTATGATTTCAATTAAAAAATGGAAATGATATTGTATGATCCAAAAAGAGTTGTACCCCACCCCCAGGAAAAGGCTTTATTATTGCAGCAAGAAGTACCTTCAAATTCCTACTTTCCTACTTAGGATACCCTTGCTTGGCTTAATATCTAAGATAATGATAATTCATGTTTCCCATATATTTTATACTTAGTATACACAAGAGGCCCATGGGCCACACCGCTCATCTGAGCAACTATGGTCAATTACTCCAACCCAAACAGCTTTAACAAATCAGAAATATCTGTACAAATTTAGTTTTTTATATTAAGGTTTTTGATACATATTCTAACTTTGAGATTTTTCTCCAAAGATTTTCATATGTAAAATTTACAGTAAATATTCTGTTCCCCCCTCTCCCATTGTGGTTATGGTTACATTTCAGAAAACCTCTCTGGTCAAGTAGTTTTGGAAAAGAAAATTCATAAAAAAAAAAAAATACTCCCATGGATACCCCTCCCCCATTGTGGCCCCACCGTACCCCCAGGGGTCATGAAAGGTCATGATAAGATTTAAAGGAAATTGAGAATGCTTCCACATAAGTTTCAACATTCCTGGCCAAAAGGTTCTTGAGAAGAAGATTTTTAAAGATTTTCCCTATATATTACTTTGTAAAATTTCAACCCCCATTAAGGCCCCACCCTATCCCTGGGGGTCATGATTTTAACAATTTAGAATCTACACTACCTGAGGATGCTTCCACATAAGTTTCAACTTCCCTGGTCAAATGGTTCTTGAGAAAAATATTTTTAAATATTTACCAAAAAATTTCAATATTTCTTATTTATCTCCCCTTGGTAAAGGGCGTGGTCACTCATTTTAACAATTTTGAATCCTCTTCACATAAGGAATTGCTTTGTGCCAAGTTTGGTAGAAATTGACTTAGTGGTTTTGGAGAAGAAGTCGAAAATGTGAAAAGTTTACAGACAGCTAGACAGACTGACGACAGACAAAATGTGATCAGAAAAGCTCACTTGAGCTTTCAGCTCAGGTGAGCTAAAAAGTAAAACACACTACATTTGTTGAATCATAAAAGATGAAAAAAACTTTCAAATTGGTTAATATTTATTTCGAATTTTCAATAACTATAACAGGTTTAAACAGAACTGAAGCAAACATTTTGTTTCCAAAAATCGAATCAAAATTATTCAAAAACCGAGGTTTTTGTTTTAATCGAATCGATTACTAATTCAAGGATTTTTACATTAATTTTTATCAAAACAGACAGTCATGAGAGCATTTTCTTATATCATATATAAAGTTCATTTTTATTATGATCTCTTGAACAACCAGTATGTTTTTTTTTCAGGGGGGGGGGGGGGGTATTTGCAAGATAATCTGTTCTGCTTCACATCTGCTAAATTGTGTAAAAATACCAGTATAGCACATTTGTCCATTTTCATTTCTGCTTTTACAGATTATATACATGTCTATAACCTGTGTATATATAAAGTATATGTATTAGCAGTGCTTAATAACTCTTTTATTGTTGAGATCATATTTTGAACAAGTTGAGACCTGCAGTGTTAAAATTGTTACAAAAATTTTTACACCTTTAGTTTAATAACTATTTGTGTAAAAATACCAGCTAAACACATTTCTTCATTTTCATTACTTTGCTTGAAATGTACCAGCAGTGCTCATCTCTTTGTTGTTGTCATATTTTCAATAAATATCCATAATTTCTTTTATTAAAGTTTGGAAAGGTGAAATTTATGTAAGCTCCGGCGTGATTCGAACTCATGACTTGATTTATAGCTAACTGGGGGTCAAACCCATTCTGCGCTACACTGTTACGCAACAATTTTGCAACAACAAAAAAAATAAATAAATAAATTTAAAAAAAAAAAAGGATTATATTCACATTCATAAACTAGTATTAATTGTAACGGGGACCGTTACAGATGTTCCCCAAACGCTCCCCAACTTCCTTTTGGTGTCTTATTCCCTGTAAGCTTCATTAAATAAGGCAATGAAGTATATTGGGTTTTTTTACGCATTACACGAGCGCGCACGGGCATGCATGTACAAAATGACCATATCAACTTGTCTACACTTTTAATACATCTTTATATTCAAATTTCAATAAAAGATAAAAAAAATTCGGCTATATTAAGTATATCTGTCATTTTACGCATTGCACGCGCGCGCACGTGCATGCATATGCATGTTGACAATGTCGTCTTGTCTACATTTATAATATGTCTATATATTCTGAGTATCAAAGCATTACATCAAAAAATGTAAAAGTTATGGCTATATCAAGTATATTGGTCATTTTACTTATTGCACGCTCATGCACGTGCATGCAAATGCCTGCATGTGCGCGCTGATCATGTCATCTTGTCTACACTTCTGATATATATTTATATTCTGAGTTTCAAAGCAGTTCATCAAAAAATATACAAGTTAAGTCTATATCATTTGTATAGGTTATTTCAATCATTGCGCATGCGCACACGTGCATGAATGTGCATTCCGACCATGTCGTCTTGTCTACACTATTAATATATCCTGATATCCTGAGTATCAAAGCATTTCATCAAAAGATATGAAAGTAATGGCTAAATCAAGTATATTTGTCATTTTACTCATTGCACGCGCACGCACGTGCACGAACGTGCATGCATCTGTGCGCTGATCAAGTCTTCTTGTCTACACTTCTAATATATATTTATATTCTGAGTGTCAAAGCAATTCATCAAAAAATGTACAAGTTAGGTCTATATCAATTGTATTGGTTATTTCAATCAATGCGCATGCGCGCACGTGCATGCAGGTGCATTCTGACCATCTCATCTTGTCTACACTATTAATATATCCTTATATTCTGAGTATCAAAGTGTTTCATCAAAAGACATGAAAGTTATTTCCAAATCAAGTATATTGGTCATTTTACTCATTGCACGCGCACGCACGTGCATGCACGTGCGCGCAAAATGACCTTCGTTCCGCAAATCTACATAACATTCCTATTAACCCTAAAAAGGTTTCAACTCAATCGGATGTATAGTTTCCGAGATCACTCACGGACAAAAAAGTACCCAGGAAGAAAAATAATAATAATAATAAGAAGAAGAAACAGAGTAAAAACAATATGTTCCCAAACATCGTTTGGGGAACATAATAAACGCACCTGAGCCTTGGTCTCAAAGGAGATGTATTATGTCTGCCGTATGTTCATATTGTTATTATGCTGGTATATGACATTATGTGGAGTATATAAATGCATAAAAAATAAATAGATTTAATAAAAAATCATTTTTAAAAACCCTTTTCACAAGAATTCAAGGCTGTAGCTGATCACTCCGA